AGGGTTTAGGGTTTAGGGTTTAGGGTTTAGGGTTTAGGGTTTAGGGTTTGTGGTTTGTGGTTTATGTATGTACTATTGTACAGAGCGTATATACGAGGCATCATCTGTATGTCAGTCGGCTGTATTTTCATCGGGAAAGAGCATAAAAAGAAAGATGAGAGACTTATCAATATATTTTGTCGGTTACATTGAATGTCTGTTAATACCTCAAATACGAGGGGTTAAGGGTTTAGCTGCTCTTTTATTAGGTTCTCAGAGGCTGTCGGGTTATCAGCATAAATTAATTAAACTAGCAGAAAAGTCTGCTATAGATATTATTACTACTGCTGTTAATCTTCTTATTTATATTGAAACTGAAGTGCTCTCTAAAAATGTAAGATAGACATCTTGCTGCTCTTTTGCTTCCTTCCCTTGCTGCTGCTGCTGCTGCTGTTGATGCTGCTGCTGCTGCTGCTGTTGCTGCTGTTGTTGATGCTGCTGCTGCTGCTGCTGGTGGTGCTGCGGATGCTGCTGCTGCTGTTGCTGCTGCTGCTGCGGATGCTGCTGCTGTTGCTGCTGCTGCTGCGGATGCTGCTGTTGCTGCTGCTGCTGTTGCTGCTGCTGCTGCGGATGCTGCTGCGGATGCTGCTGAGGATGCTGCTGCTATTACTACTTCGGCTGCTGCTGCTGCTGCTTCTGCGGCTGCTGCTTCTGTTTCTGCTGCTGCCTCTACTGCTGTCATTGCTGCTTCTGCTGATGGTGCTATTACTGCTGCTTTTGCTGTTGCTTTTGCTGTTGCTTTTGCTGCTGCTTTTGGTGCTGCTGCTGCTACTTGTACTTCTGCTGCTCTTGCTTCTGCTTCTGCTGCTCTTGCTGCTGTTGCTGCTGCTGCTGCTGCTGCTGCTGCTGCTGCTGCTGCAGGAGGAAGGTTCTTCAGTGGATCTTCGTGCTGCAGTTGAGAGAAGCATAGAATTGTTCCGACCAAAAGCAGCAGCAAACAAAATACCCATCAGCTACACTTTTGCTAACGGCTGCCCTTCAATGGCTCTCATTGATCAAGACAAACTCTGCACTACTCTTACAAGAGTCAGGGTTTAGGGTTTAGGGTTTAGGGTTTAGGGTTTAGGGTTTACGGGTTAGGGTTTAGGGTTTACGGGTTGACAGTTATGGTTTACGGTTCAGGGATTGGGGATTAGGGTTGATGGAGTAGGGTTAAGGGTTTAGGGTTTAGGGTTTAGGGTTTAGGGTTTAGGGTTTGTGAGCAGACTTTAGCGTACGTCATCGACCACTCTGTAGAGAAAGGCATGGGCATTGATGTTTATGTAAATGCAAATGCTTCTAACCTTCGCTCTTCAAAAGAGAAGACAGAGAATAAAAACTCTGCTGGTTTGCATATGTATGATGTCCGATTCGAAGTAATCTTCAACCCTAAACCCTAAACCCTAAACCCTAAACCCTAAACCCTAAACCCTAAACCCTAAACC